ATACCCTTACTTATATCTGTGTCTTTTGTGTTTTAGTTAATGTTTGTACTTTGAAACGATATGATGAGGTAAGCCCTTTTAACATGATTGTATAGTTCGTTCTTATATTGGATTTGTACACCACTGTCCCAGGTACGGATACGGATCTTGTGTCAGCAAATATGTTTAGCCTATGATCATTATTTTTGTGACTGCTCAAAGTCAGGAGCCTGTAATCTAAGGATTGTCTTTGGTCATATTTATTTTCAGTTAAATGTTTGCTACTGGTCATGTGGTGACCTTTATTTGTTAACGTGCTCATCGTTTGGTCTCTGGTATAGAGTTGTCTCATTGGAAATAAGTCCACATCTTCTTATTTGTATACAAACATCTAACTTTTCATTCTGTAGTTTTTACAATTTGATCATAAATAGATTACTGTTAGGTGTACACAGTTTTCATCAGTGGTATTTTGAACTGCTTTTGGCATGTACATTAAATTTAAATAGAATGCATGCCTTTTTGCATTCCGAGTGAGCTGTATTGTAAACTCATTGTTATAATCCAATCTACCGTTTGGTATATCTTGGTTATCATGAAAGTAAGAACAAGATTATTTATTTCTTTGGGCAAATCATGTACATTTTGTTATAATCTTAGTCCCTACAAAAACAATGAAAAATGTCATCAAAGAAAAAGAAAATGCATATCGACATAGCACATTAGCATAAACATTGGCAAACAGGGGGAATGTGAGAAAGCTATAAAACCAGTTTGATTAAGATCACGTTAGTTACACAATGTGCTATTGGCCTAACACAACATATATGGGGTCAGTAAATTCCTTTTTGGGGGTGAGAGCGAAGCTCGAACCTCTATTAGAAATTACTGACCCACTATATATGGTATTAGGTCACTAGCATATTGTGTAACCATTTTTCTTACCGACTCTCTTAACATGTGGTATTTAGATGTTTAGACTATTGGCCCAATAAAAAAATCACGCCGTCAATATTAAGAATCTACTTACGATGGTCTTCATAAAAAAAAACCTTTTAGTTTTTCTCAAAACCGTGTTGTTTTTACTAATGGACATAACACCACTACTAACCTTGTCATGAAAAAAAACCACGCCTTCTACCCCTACACTGGTCTTACACTGGTCTATACAAAAACAAACGCCAAATAATAACAAATTGTAAGCTTTTATTGTATCTTTTGAATTTATTTCAATCATTCATTATCGATTTTTACGTCTGTTGAAACCTTTCTGATTTTTCCTCGACATCATGTTGTGTTTACTAAGGGTCGTACCACCACTGCATGTACTAACCGTGTATTTTTTATTTTAGTTCATTTATATGTTTTGGAGTTTAGTGTGACGTCCATTTTCACTGAACTAGTACACAATTCTATTAAGGGGCCAGCTGATGACCACCTCCAGGAGCGGGATTTCCCGCTGCATTGAAGTTACATTGGTGACCTTTGGCTGTTGCCTGCTCTTTTGTCGGGTTGTTGTCTCTTTGACATATTCCCCAATTTCATTTTCAATTGTAATGAAATAAACCATGCCTACTAACCCTATATATGAAACATACACAGTATCCACGCGATTGCTTAAAACCAATCATATTCCTACAAATGTTTAGGAGATAAGATAAGGTGATATTTGATAGTAAAATTTTCAAATTATCCTTATTTAACCTTAATCTGAGGAAGATTAACCTGAAACTCGTAATGATGTGTCAAATTATCAAAGCAGAATACAAAGGAGACGATTGTTCCTAGTTAAATGCATTCACACTTCTTGAATTGTCATAATTTAACATGTGAAAAAAACCTGATCTTGCATAGTTAGTATATTTGTTCAACATAGATATATAACAGGGTTAACAGGTTCAAAGGTGTGGCCATGCATTATGTACTCTCTAACAATAGGATTACGTTTTCATGAAATTGTTTTCGGGATGACAGGCTTTTTTCTATTTTTGTTTCCTAGATTGCATGTTTGTTGATGACCTCCTGTTAGTTTCCATAGTCTGTGTCTGATACAATGGATTGATATAATATGGTGTGATCTGCAAATAGTCTAACCATTGAGCGAATACCTTACGGCATGTCGTAATGTAGGAGGAAAAAACTGGGTACGAGTAGTGAACCTTGTTGAACGCCTGATTCTACATTGATTTATCAGATTTTCAAAAACTTCCACTTGTTCCAGAAAACAAAATGTGTATCAATTTTTGGGGTTACCTCTGATGCCATGTCGTTCCAGTTTGTGTATTAGTAGACTGTGACTTACTTTATCGAAGGCCTTTGAAAAATCCATTGTTACAGGCTGTGGTCAACTATAATGTCAGTGAATTTATGGTGTATGATGGTTTGTTGATAGTTAGGTTTTTAGAGATTTGGTTTTACAGTCCCAGAATGGAGCCTAGACTGGAAGGTTGGAGTCTCCAGCCATGATGATAAAAGCATTTTTATATTGTTGCTCTGGATAATCTCTTTTCAAGTACCAATTTTTAGTATGACGACTATTTTCATTGAACTAGTACATTTTTTTGTTTAAGGGAACTCGCTGAAGCACGTCCCCGGGTGCGGGATTTTCTCGCTGTAACGAAGACCCATAGGTGGCCTTCGGCTGTTTTCTGCTCTTTGGTTGGGTTGTTGTATCTTTGACACATTCCCTATTTCCATTCTCAATTGTACAATTGAGAGGATTGAGCAGGCAATAAATTGTATCTGGGCTGTACAATATTTTTTTCTGCTTTTGTTATGGCTATGTTGGTTGTTTCACCATTTGTTCGATGGTTTTGTTGTATTTGTATCTCAGTTTTTACCTCTTTTCAAGTACCCATTTTTATTGGATGTTGTGGGGTTGTAGTATGATCTTAAGAATTATAGAATAACTAATCGAAGAATTCAAATAGAGAAAAATATTCAACGAGTGACCGAACAACACATTAATTCACGAATGCGCGTAGCGCATGAGTTAATTATCAGTGTTGTTCGGTCACGAGTTGAATATTTTTCGATATTTGAATTCTTTGATTAGTTATTCTTTTTATTACATTGGCAAATGGCTTTTTTAATGAAATTAATGTAGAAAATGTAAGGAACTATATCTTTTTTCTACGCATTCACAATTTGTTTTGATCCGACGTTATCGACGTCTTGACAACGCCTATTGTTGTATGACGTCAGAGAGTGAACTAACCACGTTTATTTCACATGTGAAATTATCGGTTTTTATTTGACTGGGAAATCAATGTAATTCATTGCTACCAATGTAATAATATAGCATAATGACAAATATGCTAAGGTTTGCACCAATAAATTTCGCAGTCCGAATGTAGTTCAGGGATGACAGTTGTAGTATAAGTACCTTAATTGCAATTATTACACCCCTCCACTACAGTTAATGTCCTTTCGGAAGATGTTATATTCAGTAGGAAATATTTGACTGTCAGTGATCTTGTCGTCTAGTCATGTTTCTGTACCAAAACATTAATCTGCGTTCATGCTGTCTATGAATCATGTACTTGGACTTGTATACATGTTATGGATTAAAAGTTAACGTTCTGTAATCTTAGGGATATTTCAGCTTTCTTTGAAGTTTTACTAGTCTTATTTTTTTGGGGGTCGACGCATATAAAGGCCTGATCTATTCTGCGTTGAACATGCTAGCGAAGTGTCAGACAGAACGCTGAAATGATTTGATGTGCTTAGAATTAGCGAGTAGCATATTGTTGATAAGTTCGGACAACCGCACATGAAACAGTCCAAAGCAATTACAATGTCATTGCAAATAATTGTATTATTTAGTGGTCACAGACTGGCATCAAATTATGTACCACTGCTTGCCGGTGCCACATGCTATCTCTGTTTGTCGTTCCATGCAACTAGTTGGTCACACGTGCCATATGGATACACCGTTAATTCAGGTCCTTGGTTTACATTGACGTCATTTGATACTTTTTTCGGTATTACTGCGAGGTATGCTATTGTAATCTCTGTCTGATGGTCTCGATTTTATATAGACAAGTGTTCCTTAGAAGTTGTTCTGGGTGTACACCGTCTCTCTTGTTTATTGATATTTTGACGGATTTTCCTGTGCCACCTTTTTTGTTTTTTTCTCCCTCGAAAGAAATATGTATTGAAGTTGATTGTTTTCTTGTTCAGACGTTCACTTATTCCATATTTGTTTTTTGTATCGTATCGAGAAGTTATAACTGTCATGTTATCTGGAAATCAACTAATTTGTTTAATTCTGGTGTATTGTGTCCTTTGTGTTTGTAGTAGTTTACAACATGGTCTTGTCATGATACGGGTTATGTTCTTCTCATATATTGTATGTGGTATGATACTCAACCGCTAACGGGAGGGATTGTGCTTGATATTCATATGCTGAAGATATAATATTTCAATCAGTTTATTTGAGGTATGGAACTGGTATGTCAGAAACGGCTAGTAGTCATTTGTTAATTTATTTATCATTGTCATTTTGTTTAGTTTCTTTTGTTACCTTTTCTGACATCGGACTCGGACTTCTTTTATACTGAGTTTTATTGTGCGTATTGTTGTGTGTTTGTTTCGTCTACATTGGAGGTATAGGGGGAGAGTTGAGATATAAAAAAAAAACATGTTTAACTACATCGCATGTTTGCGCCTGTCCCAAGTCAGGAGCATCTGGCCTTTGTTAGTTTTGTATGATTTTTAAATATATTTCGGAGTTTAGTATGACGTCCATCATTACTGAACTAGTACATATTTTTGTTTAGATGCAAACCTGAAGCACGCCTCCGCCTGCAAGAATTTTTCGCTGTGTTGAAGACCCATTGGTGGTCTTCGGCTGTTTTCTGCTCTTTGGTTGGGTTGTCTCTTTGACACATTCCCCGTTTCCATCCTCAATTTTACAATTGAGAGGATTGCCTAAAACTCATTATTCTTGATACAACCACTCGTCGTAATCGTAGTTAAACTAGATTGACTTAACAGGGTAATTGTACTTTAAGGGGACTCACAGGCAATCCACTCAATTGTGACTGCAGTATCTTTCCATTCTGGTCATGGGTAATTAAAAGATCACACATTGGAACCAGTGCGAAATGTAGCAACGGAACATTAGTTACATCACTGCAGTCAACTCCACTAGAAACATGTAATCGTAAGTAGTACCAGCGGAGTTTTAAAATTTTGAAATAGTACGCTTCAAACCATTAAGTTCATAAATTCTATTTCATTAGTAGAATATAAAATAATTAAACTAGTTTGTTGTTGAGACACAAACGTCATTGAATGATATGAATTCACATAAACAAATATGAATACAAAGGGTACAACACACTTCTTTTCGGTGTTTATCTATTGTAAATCAACAAATACGCATTTAAATGGATAACTGCTTCACAATAATACAGTACATTTGCAAACACAACACTCATCTGTTTGAGATTGTTGATAAATATAGTTACATAAAATAAAACAAACGTGTATTTGATTTCTTGAAAAACAGTAAAATAAAAAAAAAAAAAAACGTACTTCGAGGAAAATTCTAAACGGAAAGTCTATAATCAAATGGCGAAATCAAAAGCTCAATAATATCAAAGAAATTGATAACAACAGTCATATTCCTGAATTGGTAGAAGCATTATTTTTGTTGAAAATTGTGGATTAAACGTTGTTTTTTAGAATGCATAAAACGCTGAATGATAATAATACCATTCATCACATTTTAATACTACGATTACATAAGGTTCCTTCCAAACAACGCTGTATTGCTGGGTATGTCAAGTGCTCTAAAAAACTGCTTTCCAAACAATGAACATACACTTACTCAGAAATTATTACCGAGCTCCAGAATTGTTTGGAAACATCCTACACTAAGGATGATGATCATAAGGTGTATAAATTGTCCAGTTAATTTGATAATTTGAGCGTTACCGAGAAGTCTTATGTAGACGAAACGCGCTTCTGGCGCATCAAATTATAAGCTTGGTACCTTTGATAACTACAAAATGTATATACGTAATTCTATCTTTGACTTATGAGTTTGAAGGACATTTCGAATTTATCATTTCTCTTTGAAATGACAGATTTAAATTTATGTTTTGATATCTCAGTATAATTTTTATAATAAACATGAAATTAATATGTAGTTTTCCCTTTGCTTGCAAATAGAACTGCATCAGCAATCAATTTTCAATTTGTAAATACACAAAATATTTCATTTCATTTTATTTTGATAATTATAAAAAAAACCTTGAAAATTCTATTGGTCTGTCGGTTGCTAAAATTGTTAATGTTTTTGATATTAAATTATTTTTTTTTACAATTCATAGTAATATTGTTTTATTTAAGCTGATAACTGCCAATGTTTCAATGGTGGGAAATGTGTGGCAATGGGCAATGATTTTTTTTGTGACTGTATAGGATCATGGACCGGCAAATGTTGTCAAGGTGCATATTAAGTTAATTTCAAAGCAACACAATAGAATGAAACAACTAGATTTGCATATTTTTATTGTAACCGTGGAAAATCAAGATAAAAGTATCTAAGATTAGAAGTCTGTCGTTCACTTAATAATGACTGTTTTGCATACATTAATGAATCTAATAATAAAACTTCGTAATCAAAACTGCATTGCAACCTGGCCCGCTCCATCTTAATTGAAAAGCTAGCTTGAACAGTATTTCCATTAATCCAGTATAATGTCTAAGTCAGATTACGAAAAATATGCAATTGTTTTTGTGAATAATTATATTTATTTAACAAACAACTACAGAAGAAATCGTATTACTAATATATACCATTGCTGCGTATAGGCGCTTTACAGGTTAAATCTACACCAGAAACATTCTAAAATGTAAAGCTAAGGATGTATTATCGAAAGCAAAAATGTATTCTTTGATGACAATTGATTTGTTTTGAGATACATTTGTAAACTAAAGTTATAGTCAAATGAATTAACAAACTAGTAACACTCGACAATCTGATAACATATCTACTTTTAATATCAAAAGACATTCCAAATTATTAGGCACATACAGAAAATCCCATTGTTAGTTAATATTTTAATTTTTTTTTAATTTTCAATTGAACAGAAAGTCAGTGTACTTCGTTTGACTGTGGATTTAGTGACTGTTATATAGAGCATGTGAATGGTACAGCTCAGTGCTTATGTGACGACATATATGTTAACTATTGTCCTAGTAAGTCGTGGTATGTTTAATTCATGTTAATATTAAATATTGTACTTCATTTGTTTTATTGCATTAAATGTAACTAGCACAACTTGCATATAGAACAAACAAACCATAGAAAAATATTATGTTACATCCTACAAATACCATCCATATGAATGTTCGTTTCAAAGAAGTTACTTAACTAATATTACGAGTGAATACTATATGTTATCAGTACAAGGTAATATGATGATCGCTTGAATTCTTGAATTCATCTATTTAATACACATGTATGTGCTTTCATAGACTCACTGAGTCCTATATTTTGCAGTTTTATCTTGACTCTATATTGTCCACGTCTCAATGCAAACTAACAGAACCAGCTTTGTATGTACACATAACGTGTTGCATGTTTTTAGAATTTAAAAAAGAAGTATTCTTTTAAAATCAATATTTTTACGAATATGAGAATATTAACAAAATCATTCTTAAAATGTACATATGAATGTATTGAATATTAATTAATATATATATATATATAATGATATTATATTTTTGAAATTATTGCAATCGTGAGATTTTATGGAATCGAAATAAAAACGAGACGTACTTGCTTGTTTTGTTTGAATAACCTGTTTTTGTATCTTTTTGAATGCATATGCCAATTGTTACTTTATAGTATAACAAATAATTTGAAAAGTCATTTAGACATATGTTTAACCATCAATCTAATTATAACGTATATATTTTTTTTTCAGCCTTTATCGTGATTATTTTTTGTATTATACACGCAGTTAGTTAGTATAATTTAAATACTAACATAAGCAAAACGACGGGTTTCACATGTGGAGCAGGATCTGCTTACCCTTCCGGAGCACCTGAGATCACCCCCAGTTGTTGGTGGGGTTCGTGTTACTTAGTCTTTAGTTTTCTATGTTGTGTCATCTGTACTATTATTTGTCTGTTTGTCTTTTTATTTTTGGCCATGGCCTTGTTAGTTTGTTTTCGATCTATTAGTTTGGCCTCTGGTATCTTTCGTCCCTCTTCAATCAAGTCACTGGGGATGTTTTTGCATTGTCAACAACTCCGCTGTTGTGAATGCTATTTTAAATTACCACTATTTAATCATGATATCTTTTTAAAGATTTGTAGGAAAATTGCGCCTTTTTTCATGTTTTTTTTTTAGAAATTTGTAAACAACAAACATGCTCTTTGGTCGGGTTATTGTCTCTTTGATATATTTCCTACTTCCATTCTCAATTTTATAATTATTATCTGTGAGTTAATTTCATATATTAAATCATACAATGTATCTTAATGGATTATCGTTTGTGTATCTATCCATCTGTGATAATGTTTCCTTACATTACTAACACATACAATTTGTTCAGTTGCGTTGAGTAATATTTTTTTTTATTCCATTTTTGCATTAAACCTATTCAAATAATGCATAAATCTCATACATCGTTAATCATTGTTCTTTTTACATCTTGTGACTATCAACGTAATATTTGTCAATGCAATTATTACAACATGTACAAGTGATATATCCATGTACTATTATTTTATCATTACATGATTCTACGATAACAAGAACAAATGTAAATAACGGAAGATAAAGAAGCGGTACTGTAACAAACGAATACAGTACGTTCAGGGGTAAATATTACTATAACGAATTATAAAACGTAGTAAAATCACCATTGTTGATTTTCTTTTTTGAGAGATTCCTGTTGTCTGTAGACAAATCTATATCATCAGTCACACTTTTTTTCAATATTATTTGTTTTCATGTTCACAATACATCTGAAATGTGTTCCCAAATAAAATACCGTAAATTGAAGATATCCATCTATAGACAAATCATACATTATTATGAAGTTATCATGTTAGAAAATGTATCCTTATAAGATTTATAAACATCCACTATCAATTAATACTATGTATAGGCTACAGCACGTTTTCATACACACTATGACGTTTTGATTGAAAGTGCTCTTTTTATAAGGAACACTTCCAAAACTTTTACCGACACTAACATGACAAAGACACTAAGCGAACACTGCTGCAAACAAGGGGTTGTCATATTTCTAGATTGTTTAACATGTAAGACTTTATATGAATATTTGTTCCAGTTGACACTTATATTATAGTTAAACATACTGTTTTGCAAGTATATTATTTCAAAAAAAAATATTGCTGATCTGTCTTAGCTAAGTCATCAACAACTGGCTAAAATATTATCGCAATTGATAACATGGTATGTATATATGTAAGATATAGACTTTTGATTGTGTAATCTTGATAAAAAGGGGGAATCCGATTTGAAGTTGAACATATTGCACTTTGACAAATAAATGAAAGTAAAATAGTTCGCGGAAGGACATTGCATTCGTAGATCGGTTTAATATGTAAACAAACGCACATGTACTGGAAAATATGGAACCGAATGCACGTATTCAGGAATGTCTTCGTAAATATGACGAAAATATCATTTTGAAAGACAAACAATCTGAGTGCTTGAGTAACATTTTAAAAAGCAATGATGTAATTTGTAATTTACCGGTAGCCTATGGCATATATACAGGTGACCATGACGCTGCTGCAAAGTTGAGCAGACGGCCTAGTGGCTCCGCGCAAGACTTGATCAGGGACCCTGTGTGTGTGTGTGCGTGGATTAGGGAAAATCTATCATTCTGTCTGTTTCATATATTTCCTAGGCGAGAAAAAATATTTTTTGCATGTTCATATAAAAAAGAAGATGTGGTATGATTGCCAATGAGACATCTCTCCACAAGAGACCAAAAGACACAGAAATTAACAACTATAGGTCACCATACGGCCTTCCACAATGAACAAAGCCCATACCGCATAGTCAGCTTTAAATGGCACCAAATGACAATGTAAAACAATTCAAACGAGAAAACTAACAGGCCTAATTTATGATAAAAAAACTAGATGTGTCAGAACGACACGAATGGCCCCGTCTCAAAAAGTTGAAAAATCTGCAATTTCAACAACACATGTGGACACAAACACGCATGGATAGTGTCAAGCTCTCAGGACCAATACTAGTTTGATGAAAAATTTCCTAGATCAATGAGTAATTAAATTTCAAACTATCAGCAAACAGGAAATTGATGTACTGCAGATCTAACAAGATGTGTTGAAACGACATGAAAATCAGCATAGCGGAACGAAACATAAACTTGATCTGTAACTTATCATGGTTAACTCACATACCAAAAATCAGCCCAATATCTGAAGGCGTTTAGAAAAAAAGTCCGTATAACTATGATTTTCAACAATTTATCAAAGTCCAAAAGCCCGTAATTTCGGCAAAAATTAGGGGAGCGGAACTAAACTTAAACTTGATCTGTAACTCATCATGGTTAACTTACATACCAAAAATCAGCCCAATATCTGAAGGCGTTTAGAAAGTCCGTATAATGGTTTGTTGCGGAATGACGGAATGACAGAATGACGGAATGACGGACAAGGGTAAAACTATATGGCCCCGACAACTTTCTTGCGGGGCCATAATAAACGAAAAACAAATATGTAACACATTAACAAACGGCAACCACTGAATTACAGGCTCTTGACTTGGGACAGGCACATACATACAGAATGTGGCGGGGTTTAACATGTTAGCAGGATCCCAACCCTCCCCTAACCTGAGACAGTAGTGTAACAGTACAATATCAGTCAGGGATATAACTCTATAGGGTTATTACAGAAAAATAACATACATTTGTTATTGTGGACTAAAAAATCAAAGAAATGTGATAACATACGTATGTTACATGTTTCAAAGGGACAATATTCATCATTAGTTTAGTTAAAATGTATACAAGTTCGATTGATATTACTATTGTTTTTATGTATACTTCACTATTGAAAGATATAACAGTTCATAATCTGCCAATTTTGCATACTACACCTATATGTTATGACAGAAAAAAATATGAGTGTAATAAATATGAATACATGTATGTACATTAATATTGATGTCTGTTTCATTTCAGGGGCAAGGAGCTTCGTTCCTCATTTGCAAGTCTAAATACACTACCAGCTTTCTTTGATGGGAAACCCATTCTTGGCTTGAGTGGTACACTAACATCAGATTTAATAAAAAGAATACCATCTATTCTCGGAATGAGCAACCCAGTTTTTGTACATGAGAGTCCAGATAGTCCAAACATTTTTCTGAATAAAGTTGAAAAAACTACTACTGTTGATGTGAGCAAAATGTATGAGAAAATTTGCATTGGTGAATGTGACAAATTATTTTCAGACAAACAATCTTATCCTGTTACATTAATGTTCATACCAATGTTATACATGAGTCATGCAGCGAGCTACTCAAAACATCTTTTCGGCGAGGAAGATATTAAAACATCTTGCTATTCAGTTGTTTTTTTCAAGACAAGATGCAGAGGTTATTGCCACTACTTTAGAAGATTTAAAAAATCAAAATCCTTGAATACGACTTGTATCAACAACCTCTGTTTCTGGAATGGGCTTTGATCCAGAGAATGTTTCGCATGTTATTCACACTGTTCTACCAAGAAACTTAAGTCAGTATTTGCAGGAAATAGGAAGAGCAGGTAGACGTGGTCAAAATGCACAGGCTACTCTTTACCACTGTGTCCGTGATCTTGCCTGGTATACAGGATGATATAATTGAATACTGCAAAAATAAAACTGAATGTCTACGAACATTAATGTTAAGTCAATTTGGATTTGCAAAATCTGAAACAGCATATTTGTGTGGTAAAAAGTGCTGTTGTTATTGTTCCAGTTCATGCAGCTGTGGTTGTTCTTCTATTGACAATTAATGGATTATTGTTCAAAATGTGTTTTATATTTAATTAAAATTCAAACCCCATAGCTAGAAGCTTCATTCCTTGTTATGCATATGATAGATATGGCAGACATGTACAGCTTGCAATCCTTCCATACAACACATATAGTTAACCTACTGCTTATAGTCTAAGAAAAACAAACCAAAACACAAAAACCTAATACGGAGCACTGAACCGTGAAAATGAGGTCATGGTCGAATAAATCCTGCAGGACTGACATGTACATCATAAAATATATCCATACATCCAATATATGTGACCTATTGCATAGAGTATTGGAAAAAAATACCAAAACTCAAAAACTTAACTTTGACCACAGAACAATGAAAATGAGGTTAAGGTCAGATGACACCTGCCAGCTAGAAATGTACACCTTACAATCAATCCATACACCAAAATATAGACCTATTGAATACAGTATAAGATAAACAGACCAAAACACAAAAACTTATAAACTAAAATCACTGAACCCTATAATGCCAGATTTGCTCTACATGTATCTGTTAATGTTTTTGAGTTATAAGCAAAGAGAATATTTTTCTAAAAGTGAAAGG